GTGGCTCGCCGCGACAATCGAATAAATTACGAAACGCATGGCATACATGATCCGAATAATGCCGTTCCGACCTCCGTTCGTTCCTTTCGTTTCCAACAAAACCAACCCCCGTTCTGTTCTGTTTCCACTCCCCCGTCATACATCCAATCTAATGCGAGACGTGACCAACAGTAATAATGTTGTTAAATGTCCGCTTCCTGTTCCTTCCGTGTTACCAAAACGGCAGCAAACTATGTTCGTCCATGTGTGTGGTCTCCGCTAGAAAGTGTACCGTAATGAAAATAATAATTAATGTTCCGAATTTGGTGCTTGTTTCTTTTTACATTTCAATCTTCATTTAATTGTAGTTACGCTCAACGTGTTTACACTATATTTTTAACTCGGAGACCCACTTTTGTAAATGTCTTAACATTTAACAAAACGAGACCAGTTATAAATAATCGTTCAACTCTCGCGACAAAGAAAAGTACTGATCTCGACTCGTACCTCTTAGATCAAAAAGCTCGAATATTGAAGCTTCTGAAGAGATATAATTGGCTACCTGATGCTAACCGCTAACCCGAGCGCCGGTATATCGACCTCTCCGGATAAACAACGAGATTCCATTATATTGCATGAAATTGAAACGAGGTTGTCTCTTTTTATTTCTTGGCCTTTGATAAGTAACGGAGTGCGCAAGAATTTGATACGTTTAAGATGTGAATACTGATGAAAACTCGTTTCGGGGAGGGAAAGGATCGTTAATCCCCTTTAATTACTGCTGAGTGAAATAGAATACAGCGTGCAGCTGGCGCTTTCCGAATCCTATATGTCTCTCATTATTACTTTTTTTTTCATCTCACTCGATTCATATTTTATCGCAATGTTTATTAACAGAACGTATTTAGTCTCCTCGTAAATTTTGCTAATTTTCAAGGCACTCACTGGGTCTTTAAACTTTAATAACTAGATTTAGGATGCTGTCGTGCATTAATAATAGTTGAGAGTTATTTTCGCTTCGCGGTTGCGAAGAGAGAGGAGGAAAATGGAAATAATTCGCAACGGAAGACTCGGCCAGTCTCCAAAGAGAGTCCTAACCTACACAAAGCGCTCGTTCCTTGGATCAGGTCATCGCGTGGGCTAGAAGAACTATCTGAAAAGATGCCACTTTCTTTGTTCACTCGCAGATTTGCTTCCTGCTGTGATTATAAAGTTTAATGAAAAAGTACTGTTCACGTCGCATGCTTATCTGTATTTTGTTCAGTGGGCGTTGCTTTTGGAGATACCTAGATTTTTTTTGGGTGTGAATAGGTCACAAGGTTTTATGAGCTCAGCAAATCTCGGGTTTTACTATTCCCTCCCGAGAATTGATATTTCATCGTCCTTCCCGGTATACAAACCTCGATCTCGTTGCTATATCATCATCAATCGCAATGGAAAAAGACATCTTATTTCCCTTTTACGGCTAATAAAACTGCGCTTCGCGATCCTTCGCGGCTTGAAACACTTTTTGCATTTTTGATTAGACGTTTACAGTTGGAGGAAGAGGTGTATACAACACACACAATCCTTACAAACGAATTGCAACCATCAATTCCTCATTCCTTTCGCAAATTGATATCCACTATAAATCTAGGAATATTAACATTTTCGAGCTCTGTTTTCTGTTATACAACTTTCCCGAATTCTCTCCTCGCTTGATTATCTTCCAGCAGCAGCCACAACAAAAACCGTTGCTTTTATGCTATGACTAATTGCTTCTTTTCGGGATGTATCCGAATACATTGTTGTCCTTCTTCGCTGTTAACGAAGGAAACAAAAAACACCTTGAAGTTTTAAAAAAATATGTGTCGAATGAATTCACTCGATTCAAAAAATATGTAAGTGGAAAAGTAATCGGGCGAGCGAAAATGAATAAAAATAGTTCAAGGTCCTTGGTATTTATCATCGCTGTTGGTTGCACAGTAGTAGTCAGTCTACTCCGTGATGGGAATAATCATAATCGACAAACCGATTGCTCGTTTCAATTTACCGAATTCCGAAAGTCATATTATTTGATCATCTCGATGGTAGAGTCATGAATCAAATAATAATTAGGTGAAATGCAATTAAAAGCTGGTTTTTTTAATGATTCGAGAACAGTAATTTATTTAGTTGGAACTGGTGAAAGTCTATTTTATATTGCAATATGTAATTTGTATGTGTATGATTTACCTGAAGGAGTGAAGCAATAACATGGAATCAAGTAAATAAAATATAATTTGCATCCCACTTGTAAGATTTAATAGGTAGATCAAGTACAGTGAAATATCTAAGTTTGCATCTAGATTGAAGATTAACCTGGAAAGATCACGTTTATGAAATGAAATGGGAGCAAAATTGTTATACGTATTAGACGGAAACTAATTATTGAGTATTCAGTCATAACATTTGAAAAAAAAGATTTATAATTATAGAGGTTCCCTGCTTAATTCATTTTGGTGTACTTGTATACAGTCATGCCTTGATTAACGATCCTGTTCCAAGCTTCCCACGACGTATCTTTTATTACATACAAACTGAAATATGATTTTATAGTTGATTGTTTGTGCTTTTTTCTCATTCATTTAACAATTAACCTATATGGAGTTAAAGCTTAACAATAACACATCTTCAGAAATCACAATCTTTTTTACTAGAAATATATATTTTTTTTCAAATCTTCGTTTGTTGACATTCTTTTCAGCACGAACTTTAATTTCATCTTCATATTCTTTGTCTCTGTTCCTAAAAAGGATTTTCTAAATATTCCACTGAAAAATCATTATCATCTTCTGCATTCAATGATGTTCTAACATCATCTTCATCTATATTTTGTATATTAGAATAAAATTAAGAAGCAGATTTATAAATGCACATCAATTACTTCAAACCCTTAAGTCACAGATTGAAGATCTTCTTTACCTATTACCCCTTTTGATTTTAAAGGGAGAAAAAGGTAGGTTCTTGCAAAAGACAGCCTGCCTTCTCATGTGAAGCTTTAGACATTTTCAATGCTTTGACAATATTTTAATTGTTATGCGTTTTCCTTACCCACAAGAATTAAATAATGGTCCTTGGTCCAAATTGAGCCAACAAAATTGTTTAAAATACATTTGAATCAGTTTAATACACTATTGATTAAGTAGACATGAATTTCCTTGACAATATAAAAATTTAACAAACTTTCAAATTTGTATTTATGTAGTAAACAAATTTATTGAATATTTACACTAAACATATTGTAAATAAAAATCAATGAACATTACAAGTAATTAGAATAAATTGTTCTATGAAAAAAAAAATTGGGGGACACTGGTTCCCCACCCATCAAGCAGAACCAGTGAAGTATGCACCGCAATTGAAACGATTATTAGCGACTTCCTCTTGTGCAGACGGAGAAAAATATTTGGCATTCAAAGGAGTCCATTGTAAATATCAATTGCGAGAGTGAATATAGTTTTTTATACATTCATTTCGGCGAAGTGCACAATGATTTAATTTCCATACACTTACGTTTTCATCCACACAACGATGCTTACAGTTTTCTGGCTCACAAAAGCGCTTGCACGCTCATTTTTTTTTCATATATTTTTGGTTTTGGTCAAAGCCGAAAGGTTGGGGTTGTAATTATAGATATACACACACACACACACCTACCCCTATTTAGGCAGACGGCGTGACAGACAGCAGTTTCGAGAGGGCGTCAAACCGCCACCCTCGATGTCAGTTTAACCCCCATAATAAACGCGTTGCACCCCATTAATCGCTGTTTAACCCACATAGACACATGCACAATGCTACACTTAAATAGATGTGGAAGGTGCGGAGCGGTGGAGAAACGTTCGCTGAAAATCCTCTGGAGCGAACGGTGGTAATTGCACTTTTTTTTCCATTCGAGTCGTTGCGTGAGCCAACAAAATTAAAGCTCCGACAAATTGCATTACGAACACTGTTATTTTCGTTGGAAAAAAAATGTATGCTCTCTCCGCATTTACAATTTAACCGATTACTTGCCACACTCTGTATATCTTCGTACGAGCAAATCGCACCATTACAAACGATACACCAGTTCTAATACCGTCCAATTACATTGGCCGAAGTCTACCTTGAAGTTAAGTACACGTTTCGATATAATTCACACTTACACAATAACATTACGTATGGATGGATACGTTTAAATATGCATTGATACTCAACAAACAATATTCCGCAATTCAAACTAAAGATTTGTATGATCAAAGTTCACTGCTCTGTGACAAGCTTAGTTTTCCAATGAAAATTCGATTCGAAAACGCCGCGAGTTTCCACGTCTGTCTACTAATTACGTACGTAACACATATTAATCATTTCACATAAGTGAATTTTAAGCCGTCCTAACTAGAATACTAATTAATTCGAACTGTACCATCGGCATTGACCAGTAAACCAATCGGATGATGATGCATAATGCAACAATTACGCCTTCTCTCTTTATACTTTTTTAATCCATTCTATATACTTTACATTTTCCTCTTTTGCGTCGATTATTTTATATAATTTCCAAGAATGCGGATGATGTAATGCGTGACGAAAACGAAACTAGTATAAGTGGGATGTAACCAAAACAATTTACAAGTTTTTCAAGATCCACTATAATCAAACCAGTTGAAAACTTGAAAGAGATTAACATTATTTGTTGCAATAATTCAATGACAAATTTCCCTAATGACTTTTTAATTGTGTAACTCGACCCATGATAACTTGATTGCTTATATAAATATTTACTTTGTTCTTCCTCTGTGTGCACGATTCTACGCGTTATCCGCGCTTTTCAAACACTCCGGGTATATTTAGAACGTTCGCCTTCAAAACTTGATAGTTTTATTATTCTTCGGACGAAGCGAAAGTGGAATTTTAAATTTAAACTATTCAACTTATATTCAACATCAAAAGAAATTGTTACATTTTTAATGAATAATTTATATAACACGATTATATTTTTTTTGTTTGTTTGCTTACAGGCTTCCATGGATTTGCCTCCAGACAAAGCGAAGCTTCTCAAGAATTATGACTTCGAGAAAAAATGGGACATTATATGCGACCAAGTAAGTACATCTTTCAATTAAATTACCTTTTCACAGCTTGACAATCATTAAGAATCCGAGAAATTCGAATACCTTCTAATTAAATCGCGGTTAATTGGAGCCGCTGAGAAGCATTATCAGCTTTTCTCGTGATAAATGCTAACTGTACGTAGCTAACGGAACAGTTACAGTCGACCGCTAGGATGCGAGAAGGACTAAAAAAGGTAGAGGAGAAGTTTCAGCGCGTTTAGCAAAAAGAGACAACTTTGATGCAATTGTAATAATAACAATACGAACATCGCATGTCAGATTCTATTATTTACGGACGTTACTTTCATGTTATTTTCTGTACAAATACCAACGAATGTAAAAGTAATAATAGAAGAGAAAAACGTGATTTGCTAAACGACGTACACGATATTTTCTTATTGCTATATTTATGAATGTCGTGCTTTATATTATCCACACGTGATTGGAATTTAAACTAGAAAGGAATTTAAATTTCCATACATTTTTCTTTCGATACAAAATTTATGTTATTATTATTTCTTAAAATATTTTATTCTATACTTTATAAACAACGGTTCTAAACCTATGCATCGTGTCCCAAAATTATTACGAAATGACAGCTGTAATGTGTCAAACCAAGTGATTGGTGAAATACTCTCAGAATAATCACAAATTATTATTTCTTTATAACATCGTTTCTCATCCTATGCGTCTTATGCCAAAATTGTCGTAAATTGACAGCTGTCACTATGTGTCAAACCAAGTAATTGGTGAAATACTCTCAGAATAATCACAGTTCAGAAAAAATATTTATGTTATTATTATTATTTCATGGAATAATTTATTCTATACTTTATAACAGCGTTTCTATACGTATGCGTCTTGTTCCAACATTGTTGCGAAATAACAGCTGTTACTATGTGTCAAACCAAATAATTGGTGAAATACTCTCATAATAATCACAGTTCAGAAACAATATTTATGTTATTATTATTTCTTGGAATATTTTATTCTATACTTTATAACAGCGTTTCTAAACCTATGCGTCTTGTACCAAAATTGTCGCGAAATGACAGTTGTCACTATGTGTCAAACCAAGTAATTGGTGAAATACTCTCAGAATAATCACAGTTCAGAAACAATATTTATGTTATTATTATTTCTTGGAATATTTTATTCTATACTTTATAACAAAATTTCTATACCTATGCGTCTTGTCCCAAAATTTTCGCGAAATGACAGGTGTCACTATGTGTCAAACCGAGTAATTGGTGAAATACTCAGCAATTGGGACTCAGTACAACTACAAACAAATATGTTGGATCGCAAGTAAAAAGAAGTTGAGAAATGCTGCTTTATAATACAATAATTTTTCCTTGTACATGCTATTTGCTTATTACTATAATTAATAATATCATGAATTGTATTACTTATTACTCCTGATTAAAATCTAACTAAAAACTAATGTATATAACTCCATAAATTTTCATGTCAGAAATAATTTTTATGTTTTATAAGAAGGAATATATTTGTATATTGATACTTTGTTTAATGCACAAACATTGTAATTGCGGTGCAACGTACGATAATAATCGAACCAAAATAATTATTTATTGTTCAAACAAGAAAATACATGTATTTATTGTAATAATAATTAAAGTAGGCTTTATTTAGTACATAAATAAAATATGTATTCAAGGGACTTATAATAAATAATATTTGTTTAGATCAGAGCTTTTACTACCTTTTGTTTCACGACATACTTGATTATACTAAAGCATTTAAATTACTATGATAATAATTTTCGTAAACGTAATATGCATTGAATTTCTATTGAAAATAATATATTTTTTTTCTTAACGCGTTTTCTCACGGCACTCCGGTTGAAAATCGCTGGTTTAGACTATCAAAACATGCATTTGAATGCATTTTTGGATAGTTTATTTAACTGAAATTATGAATAACGCTGCACGTAGGAAATGTTGTAGCGATGATGATATTGGGTCAATATCCTGTGGAGAAAACTCGAGCATTAGTTGCGATAACATTCATGGTGTGATGGATGTGCCATAAGGGCAGTTCAAGTGCCGTCCACGATGAAAGTGGCTTAGCAAGCGCTATTAAGCCATTAAAAGAAGTGCATCGTTTTACCTTCCGTTCATTTTTTTTATCGCCGCATTACCATTAGAATTAAACTTAAAACTCTTTAACGACCCATTCCTGAAACACGTTTGATCTTTCGCGCAACTACATCAAAAACCAAAAAAAAATATGTTTTTCCTGATTGAATGAAATCAATTAAATTCGCATTTAAACATGCTTTTCAAAAAAAGCAGTGAATTAGCCAGTCGTTGCTCCGAAAGTGTAGAATTTCGATGTGGAACAGCCGCATGTAATCTGTATTAAATCTTCATTGTTTCTGAGTTGAATTACAACAGCGATGATCATCGGCTCGCTGCGCTCAGGATAAATAGAGCGTGGCGCAGAGTCTTCGATCATGGCATTTCCACATATTATTATTGTTGTTGTTTACAAAACACGAGCGAAACATGCATGTACGATCCCGATGTAGTACATCTGTAATGCCGCATCGGACCGGTGTCTAACGGTGGTTCTCTGATTAGATAGAATGGATATCGATGCATGACTATCTGTCTCTATTAAAGGCACTCATTTCTGCATATGCATGAAGCGCGCACTCCACGTTGCCATTTAAGCTACAAAACCAGCAATAATCGAACACAAATAACCAATAGGTCAAGAACAAAATACAATGATAAACACCGTGTTTAATATGAATCAACAGAAGCTACTTTATAATACAATAACTTGAAATACAAGTAAAAATAAAGCGGAATGTCCATGTTTTATCTAAATTAAAAGTGATAAAAATAAACGTATGTAATTAGAAAATTGTATTTTTAGCACCGTTGATTTATAGCAGCAAGAAATTAACAGTTTTAATTTAATTAAAATAACCAGGAGCTGAGAACCTTAATTAAATTGTATATGAATTATAGCTTGAGTTGTTCTTGGCCATTAGACTCAGACAACGTTTACATAATTAATGACCATAACACGAATTACAAATAATAAACACGAGGATTTGGAAAAATTAAACAAACAACAACATGAAAAAAAATAGTTTATCGTTGTCTGTGTTTAATGCGAGCTTTCTAAATCCGATCCGGCTAATGCACGAAATATTTAGTACGTAGAAGTGAATGAATGTGACCTCAATCAATTTAAGAAGAACAATATTATTTGTTTTCGAAAAATGGTTTTTATTTTGAAACTCAAGCATTTCGCTTAACGAGCAAAATAAATTGTAAGAAAAATGATTCGCTTAACAAGCGAAGTTTCGCATAACGAGTGACAAGGAGAAGAGAAGTCCCTGATTGTGTACCTGGTACATGATTTTTAAAACTTGTATATTTTTTAAATATTAACCATCTACAATTTTTGTTGTCATCTTTGTTTATAGCGGACTAAACTTTGCAAATATGATGTGTGTTTGTTGTTAAAGCAAAACAAAAATGTATTGTGTCCAACCATTATAGTATATAAACAAAATATATAAGCTATTTTATATAAACACAATATTAAAACTATAAAGAGACCCGCGCCAATCGATCGATACAAGTAATATAAACAAATGATGTCATGCGTAAACTGACTCGTTTTCCCATTCACACACAGGGTGAACTATGAATGGGAAAACAGTTCCTCCTGTTAGTAGTAATTCTAGTTGCATCTTTGTGTATTACCAAACTTATGTTCGAACATGTTATTTATGATTTTTTGTGCAAAATTTAAGAACTAAAATAACCATAGATATGAAAAGCAAAATTACTAAAAAACGAGACCAAGTTATATTTTTTTTCGTATAGAACGCATTATCGCATTTTACATTAGTTTATATGGGGAAAATTGTTTAACTATACGAGTAACATCCGAAAATTTTGAAACGAATTATGCTTGTTAAGCGAGATTCCACTATAGTTGTTTATTTATATAATAGTTCCTGGAAATCTTGAGTGTTTGTATCTGCTGTATTTAGAATACAATAACTGCCGTTCATTCATTCATGTATTCAAAGTAGTGAATTCGTTGAATTGTGCCGAATGATGCAAATAGCGATAATACTACTCATAATAATGATCATTAAGTTAAGTTAATATTTCCCCTTTTGTGCCATTACTGTAAAAAAAACACTTATCACGTCGTTCAACGCAGTTAGTTTTTGCCGCCGTTATCAGCGGGGAAATTTAAAGGAAGAAGCTAATTTCTTGGTAACGATCCAATAATAATTACATATCTCTCTTGTTGTTTGCTGCATCCACAATAGTGATCTTTCTATGGAGAGCGAGGTTATCGACACGTGGACGAGGCCCCGACTCTGAGACCCAAGCGAAAGATAAATGAAGCCCGTTGTTACAAATATGCTTTCCGTAGATTATTCTATATCAATGTTTGTTTGCATTTAAATCCGAAATTATTGAAGCTATAATTGTGCGATTCATCGACTTTAAATAGCAGCAGAAGAAAGAACATTCGGTTGGTTGGTTGGTTGAAGAAAGACGATCCTTCTTCGGTGGGTCATCAACATTTCAATTCGGTTAGATGCCCATGGTTCGAGTCGTCCTTGGGTTAAAAATAGCACCACTTTATTATCATCATTTACCTGCCTAGAAGAAGAACAAGTTCGAAAATTGCACACTCGCATCCAATCGCATTCGCATTCTTCCTAAACCCGACTATTTTCGCGCCGATGAGACGAGCCGATATGTACATTCATTGCATAAGCATTCCTCCAGCTTGTAATTCACTGAATTTGCGCACACCAACAAAGAGCAATTTCGCAACGTCCCATTAATCTCGCGAAGAGCGTTTAAATTATTTATTTATTTATTTTTACATAAAAATCTCCGAAAACAAGTAAAATTAAACAGTGTATGGCAATGATCCTGTTTCGCTCTCTGGCCAATTTCGAAATTGCCGGAACCGAGAGGAAATCACGATTAAAATATCTCGTTTGTCGGTTGTGAAAAAAAAAAATAATGATTAATTCAATTGTGTCTCTGCAAAGAGCGCAGGATATGTCACAAGTATCTAAAATAATTAAATAATCATACAAGTATCACTTTTCATTTCTTCGCATTCTGTACAAAAAAAAACAATTAAATAATAATTTATAGCAACAACCGTTGTGTTACTTTTCTTTTACTTCGAGCAGAAACAATAGCTATAATTATATCATGAAAATAAATTTAATACGTTTGTATGTATGTTCGTCACATAACATAAGTATTACCATACATTTGTTAATTGTTGTACAAATCGTGTTCTCGTGATTTCAATTATCAAATTTTCTCCTATGGAATCTCGACAAGAACGTTTTTTTTTTCTTCTCCAAATTGATTGTGTGATGATGTAATCGGAGACCACCTATCTTACAAAACGAATCTTCGTTACATTCGAGCCACGCACGTTCAATTAATTGGACGCAAAAACAAAGCCAACGAATCAATTTTATTACACTACCGCGAGATTTTAGTATCCTTGCAGATTAAATTGTAAATACGGCGGTTCGGCGTATCTTCACGAAATGCCTACAAGTAAACGTTTTATTGAATTAATTCGAACTGCTGCTTGGGTGGTAAACTACGGCAATAAAATCGCCTATTATGTATAAAGCCGTTATGGTTCTGGACATTTGCGTATGCCGAGTTGATGTCATCGACTCGAAATAAACTGTTTATTCTATTTTACTACGAACGACATGAATATTCAAAAAAACTGTTTGTTTGTTTGTCATGATGCTCATTATTATTTCATTGATTGCTTTGGTGTGTTTGTAACATCAATCCGATGTTGTTTTCGCATCTGCCTTTGTGAATCGTCGTTATCAAGAGACTAATTCATCAACTGTGAGTCATCAAATTCGCTTCGCAGACTTCAGTCTGATCACATTCTTTTCCGGGTAAAGCGTATTTTGTCTCGATATTAACTGAGACTGCTTGTTTTTGTATATATGAGAGAGATTCGTCGGGATGCTTCGTGTTTATTGTGAGACAATTCCAACAGCTGAGTGGAATATCCTTGAGGAACGGAGTCACACAAAGTGACCTTTAGTTTGGACTTATATCTACCACATATTTCTGATACCAACTCGTATTACATACCAGACATTTATTATACATATTGGAATACGAAGCGTACAATAGAATTTTTGTTATTGAAATTCGTGTTCAATTAAACCTTGAACACAGTTTTCAGTTTGATGGATAAAGTGAGATTCGGTTCTCATTAATTGCCCTGTAGCAGACGACGAACTTTCTTGACCCGAGATTGTATCCCTTGATGATTCATTCCAGGAAATTATAAAACGCGACGTACTCTTTGAGTCATTTAATGAAAGAAACGAGTAATAATATTACTACGGTCGCAAATTGAATTCATTTAATTAAATTTGCGGTAGAATACGAGAAAAAAATGTTGGAGGCAACTAGTTTCATGTTTGTGTGTTTACGATTTAATTAAAGTCGAGTAGTTTCGCGCACGCTAAATATTCTAATTATTTTGATTACACTCGGCTTGAAGCATTAATGCGTTTTGTCAACGCTCGAAGAGGGAACATACTTCTTGTCTGCATGAGGACGTATTTTATGAATACCAGTTTTCACGCAAGCAGACTGAGAGAGAGGAGGAGGAAAAAAGTTTCCGAAGTATGCGACCCATGAGGATAATAACAGATATGTATGATATTTACATGGTAATCGCACCATAAGATATATATATACATGCACGTACACTGAAATGCAATGCAACTAGAAAATCCAGTCGACTTTATCGTCTAATTTGTATGATAAAACTATTATTTATTGGTGGAGATAATGGTGGAGACGTTGGCTCGTTTCATTAGTTGAATTAGGTGTTGAAAAATTATTCAGAGTCCAACGTAATTTAGGGTCTAATAAACGAAACACCTTCGGCGCTTAACGAAAATGGTAAAACTCATGAAAATTAACATATTTAGTAGTAGAAACGGTTGAAAAATTAGTGTTTTTCATTTGAATAAAATCTGGAGCATCGTGCATGCCTTTTAAATACACATTAAATAAGATAATTATCGAATTTATTCAAATTAGAAATTAATTACTGTATTTAAAGTATTTTGAAACAAATTCTTCAAGAAAATAGAAGTTTTAAAGAAGAAGATAAGAAAGTAAGTTTATAGAATAAAATTTAGAAGGAAACTTCATTTAGAACATAGTAATTACTAAGTTTTTGAAACAATATTTTCAGAATAATGCAAATCTATAAGAAAATTTCACTAATATAAATGTATTTGTTAATTAGTATATAATAAATTGATTGCAAGTTTTCATTACAGACAGTTAATTATTTCGAAACTAATCTTACAGAAATATACAAATCTATAAGAAAACTTCACCAAGTACAAAATATTATATAAAAATGTATTTGTTAATTGTAAATAATAAATTCATTGCAAGTTTTATTCATGCAGTTATATATTTTCGAAACTAATCTTCAGAAATATACAAATCTATAAGAAAATTCACCAAGTACAAAATATTCTATATGTATTTGTTAATTGGCAAATAATAACTTTATTGCAAGTTTTTATTATATGCAGTTAACATACAAATCTATAAGAAAATTTCACCTAGTACAAAATATTATATAAAAATGTATTTGTTAATTAGTAAATAATAAATTCATTGCAAGTTTTTATTGCATGCAGTTAATATATTTCGAAACTAATCTTTCAGAAATATACAAATCTATAAGAAAACTTCACCAAGTACAAAATATTATCTAAAAATGTATTTGTTAATTGGTAAATAATAACTTTATTGCAAGTTTTTATTATATGCAGTTAACATACAAATCTATAAGAAAATTTCACTAGTACAAAATATTATATAAAAATGCATTTGTTAATTAGTATAATAATAAATTGATTGCAAGTTTTCATTACAGACAGTTAATTATTTCGAAACTAATCTTACAGAAATATACAAATCTATAAGAAAATATCACCAAGTACAAAATATTCTATGAAAATGTATTTGTTAATTGGTAAATAATAACTTTATTGCAAGTTTTTATTATATGCAGTTAACATATAAATCTATAAGAAAATTTCACTTAGTACAAAATATTATATAAAAATGCATTTGTTAATTAGTAAATAATAAATTGATTGCAAGTTTTCATTGCAGCCAGTTAATTATTTCGAAACTAATCTTACAGAAATATACAAATCTATAAGAAAATATCACCAAGTACAAAATATTCTATGAAAATGTATTTGTTAATTGGTAAATAATAACATTATTGCAAGTTTTATTATATGCAGTTAACATACAAATCTATAAGAAAATTTCACCTAGTACAAAATATTATATAAAAAGAAAATGCAATCTTTCAGAAATATACAAATCTATATGAAAATGTGTTTGTGAATTACTCAACAATAATAAATTACATGATTGTAAGTTTCTATTACATACAGTTAACATATTTTAAAATAAATCTTTCAGAAATCTATAAATTTATATGAAAACACAATATGAAATAAAAGTTTAAATGTATATTTTACATAGTTTCATATTCGTAAAGATAAACTAGAACAAATTATTGAAAAGAAGTATTGTTTTATAAGTAGTTTTATTAATTAGAATTTCTACGATTTGGCGAATGTTATTGAAACGAAGTATTTGTAAATAAATATTATCATTTACGAAATGACAAAAAAATTGTTTGTGTGCTAAACAGAAATGATTATAAAAAATTTGCTTGCACTCACATGGAATTTCCCCATTGAACAGCTTTACAGAATTAAACCGGATGTCTTATCCGCTCAATTCATATTTATAGATTATATTCATATTGGCATATGTAACGGTTTATCGACGTAATGCAGATAAATCGAACCAGTTTCATCGAAATAAAGTAAATATTTTTGTGGACGTATCAAACAATGCGGTGCAGTCGCTGTAAATTGCGTAACACAACGATTCAGTGCTTCCCACTAATAACTGACTTATCGTAAATATGCTTGCTTTTGTAGTAAACAGATAGATATATAGATAGTATTGTAATAGTAATACTTTATAAATCGGATTTACTTTTGTGTATTCAGAGGACGTACAGAGTATTAAGTACTCGCGTGTATATATCAAATGTATATGGACACATTGATGATATCATGAAGGAAAAAGTTGCATGACTCAATGCTGTTTATCGTACAGGATTTTATATGCCGCCGGCTCATTGTGTGTCATGATAAGGGCTTCCAAATAAATAAATATATGTGATTAAAAAAAATAAACAGCAACAATTTTAGCGCTGATTTGCGAAGAGCCTCGAAATATTCGTGAATCATTTCCATTTCACACGGATAATTTATGTGTGCTCCGAAACCGGTTTCCATACGTAATATTCTTTAATACAATATATGTATTTTTTTTTCATCCTTCGAATTCCTCGTGCATGTGCATCATCGTCAGCATCATCGTCTATACATCTTCGTCACATTTTTCTTCATTTTCGTTCGTTCCAACCTCCTCCGCTTCTCGTGCGCGCTCCTCCACGTATATGAGACGACAACGCACATGGGTGTAAGAGAAATGGAGATGATTTATGCAATACGTGCAATGACTGTCTCATTACTCACGTATGGAAAGTCGTGCAGAGTTCTCGGGTGGAGATGGAGGAGGAGGAGGAAATTACACGGCTCGCGGATTACGAAACTCTCTCTCTTGCAAGTCGCGGATTTTCAGTTACGAAAAGAGACCGAATTGAGAAAATAATAATCATTGCAAATCATTCTTTCTTTAATTCTTCGTTTATTTTTGCAGGAAATGGTTCATGCCAAAGATCCGCCTTCTCATTACCTGAACAAACTGAGGACGTACCTGGATCCGAAAGCTTCGAGGAGTCATAGGGTAAGAGTAATAAAATTAATGCCGCATCATCGGTTTGGAATATAAATAAATATATGTGATATTTTATAAATGCTTTTGCTCAATATTGAAATGACACATCTGCAAGCAAGATGTACTTTGTAAGAATGGTAGGATGCAGAAGAAAAAAATATGACGAAGAAACAGTGAGTGTGTGTGTGTGAGAGTCGGATGGGATGAGATGAGATGATGGTTGGTCCGGTACAGAAGCAGCAGCAGCCGGGATAATCGTGAAGCAAGCAGTGTTTACTGTTTTATTTATCTAAGGACATCGAACTGAATAAATAACACATAGAGAAAGAGAGGAAGAGGCAAAGAGCTATCTACTTTATGATCGTATATAAAAGACGTCCAGCGTAAAACATATGTTTCTAACTACCATGGATAAATATATACATGCTGCAGTAGTAGTGGGCATTCACTGAAATTAAATGTGAAAGGGCTAAGCTCCTTTGTCTCGTACTCCTCTTCCTGTTTCTTTTTATTTCTTCCTCATTACACTAAAACTACCATTTGAATAATAGATTATTATTATACGTCTTCTCAAAACGATTATATTAAATGCATTAAAATTAATTAATCTGCATTGCAAAGATAAATCCACAATGTGATTAATTTAATTAAAATGATTGATTAATTTAATTAATTAAATATTAGTAATTATCTAGTAAAATGTGATTGTAGTTATTATTGCGTTCCGTTGTTCTCGAGACGTGAAGTATTAATAGGTGTATTTCAGCATTAAAATGCCACTGCACGTTGCCTACTTAATAAACACTGTTAAAGTTTATATAGTCTCATAAAAGACGACACGTGAATGAAATAGGTAAACGCCGAAACCATCGGCCGCACGTAAAACGCCGATTAGAAGAGATTAAATTCAATTTTCTAATTTACCATCATCGTCATCGGCGGTGCTTCAGCATCCATCGTCGATGGGAAACAGCAGCCCGCGCTGAAAGCTTCACGGAATAAATGAATGCATTTATTATTAGCGATGCACTTAACATTTCAATTGAAGAGTGGAAAGAGGAAGCTTAATATTATTAAAAGAAAACCGCACTACTGCGTCCTCTATAATTATCGTACTTTATTTGTCACTGGAAAGTTCCATAAAATTATGATATAAATATATCTGCTTTTTCCCTGTAATTGATAGGTTCTTGTTTTGTTTTTATTTAAAGGGACATGTGGTTTTGTAGATTGTGGGAATAATGCTTGGTTGTTGCGTTCTGAGTAGAAGACGTATTTTGTAGTAGTTATAAATTAAATCAGATTTTTTTTTTGTAAATTTAATACAATTTGAAATATTTATTAATTGGTCGTTAGAGGCGGATTCATCTCCTAATGCGATTTAATGATGAGAGCCTTATACGGCGCATCGTTAATGAATATTAATTTGAAGTATTTGGAATGGTTTCATTTGGAGGAAGTCCTAATACGTTCATAACTCTATAAATTGCTCGTCTCTTGCAGAAACGAAAGATGGTCGGTGAATCAACATCAACGCAGGTTCTCAGAGATTTAGAGATATCGTTACGCACTAACCATATAGAGTAAGTTGTTTCGCTGGACGCACTTGCGTTCCGATGGATTATTTTTATTCTTCTTGTTTAGATGGGTGAGGGAGTTCTTGGATGGTGAGAATCTGGGTTTGGACGTGCTTATAGATTACCTGAACTTCCGGTTAGGCATGATGAGGCACGAGCAACGCATCGCGGAGTTCCGGTCCGAATCTGAGGAGCAACTGAATCACACCAATAACACGACAATTACCACGATGGACCGGACGTACAACGGATACATCCGTCCTCCTTTGGACGTCACGGACAGTCCGAGCATCAAGCGACGCTCCAAGCATGTCGCCAAATTGAATATGGGAGAATCGAAAGACGACATCCACGTTTGCATAATGTGCATGAGAGCCATCATGAACAATAAAGTGAGTACTACCTCCGGTGTACTTTTATTATGATTGTGTAATTGTGCGTGTGTGTGGGGCACCAATTGATCGGCCGATTTTTCCACAGTACGGCTTTAACATGGTTATACAACACAGGGAAGCGATCAACTGCATCTCACTGAGCTTGATCCACAAGAGCCTGAGGACGAAGGCTCTGGTTCTGGAACTGCTGGCGGCCATCTGCCTGGTCAAAGGAGGCCACGAGATTATCCTGTCCGCTTTCGACAACTTCAAGGAAGTGCTGAAAGAGCGCTACAGGTTTGAAACGCTGATGGAATACTTCCTCAATCCGGAGCTGTTCCATATTGAATTCATGGTACGATCATAAACCTAAACACTGTTTATAATTAAACTAAATAATTTGATTGCTTTAGGTGGCCTGCATGCAATTTGTGAATATAGTCGTTCATTCGGTGGAAGATATGAACTTCAGAGTACATCTTCAATACGAATTCACCGCACTTAATTTGGATGACTACTTGGAGCGATTGCGACACACCGAAAGCGAGGAGCTTCAGGTGCAAATTTCCGCTTACCTCGACAACGTCTTCGACGTACATGCATTAGTTGAAGACAGCGAAACGAAGACGGCCGCCATCGAGAAGGTGGCGGAACTCGAAGACGAACTGGGCCAAGCTCACGATAGGCTTCAGGTGTTCGAACACGAAGCGCTTTCGAAGATTGGAGAGCTCGAAACGGAGCTCGTCCAGGTGAGGCAGGAACGGGAGGAACTCATGGAGCATCGAAGGCAGCGCGATGAGGAAGTCACGACACTCCGGAGAGTTGTACAGCAGCATCAGCAGGAATCTAAGAATAGGCAGTCGCTGCTGGAAAATAAAATCATGGAATTGGAAACGATAACGAAGAGTCTACCGAGAGGTTCGACGAGTAAGTTTTGTGGTTATCGCAATTTATTGCGGAGGCTTATTTCATCCTTTTCTGCATTCCAGTCGCCGGTTTATCAGATCTGCTGTTGCAAAATACGCCTCCGAGTTCGTCGAGCTCCACATCTACAACTACGCCTAGTACACCTGTGATACCTCCACCGCCGCCTCCGGCAGCTCCGGTAGCTCCACCGCCTCCTCCTTGTCCTCCCCCGCCGCCAATGAAGCAGTCAGCACCTTCCGGACCACCTCCTCCACCAGCCCCTGGCTTTATGCCTGCACCGGACGGCGCCATGACAATCAAACGGAAAGTTCAAACCAAACACAAACTTCCTACAATCAACTGGATTGCGCTGAAACCAACCCAGGTAACATCCAATCGAAATTACGTTACGAGCAATCGATTAAAATATATAAATCTTGTAGGTGAGGGGAACTATCTTTAACGACCTGGACGACGACAGGCTGCACAAGACAATCGATTTCATTGAATTCGAGGAACGCTTCAAGATTCGCAATGCCGGCGCTTTAACAAACGGCGCAAGCGAGCCGGATGGACTTAACACGATGCCTAGCAAAAGGTTTAAGAAACCGGAAAACGTTACGCTTCTGGAACACACCAGATTAAGGAATATAGGTACATATTCGTATTACGTAAACCATGCTTTGGTAACTTAATAAGTTGTTTATTTCAGCAATTTCCCGAAGAAAACTCGACATGCCCGTTGAAAAAGTGGTGAACGCCATCAACTTGTTGGACCTGAAACAACTATCGCTGGAGAACGTTGAGCTGTTGCAGCGGATGGTGCCGAGCGAACAAGAAGTGAAAGCTTACAAAGATTTCAATGCCGAGAAAAAGAGCCCCAGTCTGCTTACGGAGGAGGACAGGTTCCTTATGCAACTCGCCAAAGTCGAAAGAATCTCATCGAAATTATCGATTATGAGTTACATGGGCAACTTTTACGACAACATTCATTTAATCACACCTGTAAGTTCTTTATTCTACTTTACAAATTATGTTAATATTTATTTAAAACAAGAATTTCTTGTATATGACAGATAATTAAAATATTTTAAATTTCAGCAAACGAACGCAATCATTTCCGCGTCGAATTCCGTGAAGAACTCGAGAAAACTCCGATTGGTGCTTGAAGTGATCCTGGCTTTCGGAAACTACTTGAATAGCAGTAAACGCGGCCCCGCGTACGGCTTCAAATTGCAATCCCTCGACTCTCTTCTGGACACAAAATCGAGCGACAAGAAGATGTCTCTGTTGCACTACATCGTCGCGACCATAAGACAGAAATTCCCTGACTTGATGAACTTTGATTCGGAACTCACGTTCATAGAGAAAGCTGCAGTTGGTGAGGATTTTTGTTTGCTTTCATTTCGCACCTGCATGTTCTGAATATGTGATTTGTATTTCAGTTTCTCTTGAAAATATAATGACGGACGTTCAGGAGCTGGACAAAAACATGGATACAGTTCGGAAGGAGGCTGATCTTCGTGGAAAAATAAACTCGACGATCCTCAGGGATTTCTTGCAGAACTCCGAAGATAAGTTGAGGAAGCTGAGGAACGATTCGAAATCCGCACAAGACGCGTTCCGGGAATGCGTCGAATTCTTCGCAGAGTCCCCGAGGACAACGGACGCGAACAGCTTCTTCTCGCTGCTAGTTAGATTTGTGAAGGCATTCAAGGTAATTATTCTGTTGAAACCTCTAGCTACGTGCTTTAATAAAAAATACAATCTTTGAGCAGCATGCAGATCAGGAAAACGAAACTAGGAAGAGACTGGAAATGGCTGCGTTGAGTACATGCAAAGGGAACAACGTTGTGGTGGAGAGGAATAAGATAAACCAGAAGAAGCAACAGGTAAAAAAGGTTAATGGCTTTAAGTTACCTAGTTGATTTAATATGGACTTTTACTTACACAAAAAAAACAAACACTAACTGCAACTTCTACTACTACTTCTACTACAACACAAAAAACCCACCTCATCATCCTTCTTTTAACTACACTAATTTACCTTCTATAGGTAAGACCTATTCCACGTTTTTCTTATTTTTATACTTCAAATTTGAGTTTTCTTTTCGTTTATTTTTTTTTTTTGAACTAAATCAAATTAACTTATATACTGTTTTTGTCTCTGTTTTCTGCTAGGACGCTGTGATAAACGAATTGAAACACAAAGCGAGATTAGTGCATGAGAAAAAATTACTTCTACAGGATGAAGTGTATAACGGTGCTTTAGAAGATATTTTGTTAGGTTTGAAAAACGAGCCCTACCGAAGGGCGGACGCAGTGAGACGAAGCCAGAGGCGGCGCATAGATTATAACAGGCTCTCTAAAACGATGGAAGAAATAGATTTGTGATTTGGAGGACGAGACAAACCCCCCCTTCACCTATTATAATGTAAAAACGAAAGACGTGTAGGAAACCAAAATTAGCTTTAAGAATTCGGATGAGATAATATTAAAGAAGGAAATCGGTGCATATTTTTTTTAATATTATTTTATGAATCTATTAAGGTTGAATGGCAAATCTATATCATTATTATTATAATTAATATTTTTCAAGGCGCCTTAAACTCTTTTTAGATGGGCTGTTAAAACAAACATATATAAAAAGAATAGAAAAAAGAAAAACAATGCTTTAGCTGTGATAGATTTGTAATTTAATACCAAAATAACTATTTTTTTATATGAAATGTGACTAAAAGAAAAAAAAGAAAACACGATGATGAAAAGATGACGAAACTCTCGCGACATTCCTATTCATATTTCAATTCACTTCAAACATTGTATGATTTTTTTTATATATATATATAATATAGTTAGGTGTATTAAAATGAAGAAATGTACATATTATATATTACATTTTTCCTCTTATATTGTTTAACACTAGTTTCAACAAAATGTTTTTATTTTAAATAAATGTCATTTAAGTTTTTGTATAAAATAAATATATATATATATAAATATATTATAAATAGATTAGCAAATGTTTAGTTTATATTGTAATTATTATTAAAAAAAGTTATTTATATAAATACACAGATATATTTATTGATTAAACGATTATCTTGGAATGTTTATTGTCTCTATTATAGATTTTTTTTTGTACAATTTGTTGGTAAGCAAAATTCTGGTGTGCAGCCGTTTGCTTTAATGTTTAATAATTTATTAATTTCTGTTGTACATATACTACTACTACGAAAACAATGTTACATAAGAAATCAACCAGGAATACGGAAAATATCGATTCGAATATATGTTATATAGATATAAAAAGAAGTATTTTATATTTTTAAGAAATGTCTTTTCTCTATCCCCCATTATATATATATACTTATTATTATATCGTATTATTGTGACTTATAGTTTGTATATATTGATACATGGATCTTTGTTAAACTCTTTCTCCTTACAAAAATAAAATTTATATCTTAATTATTACATAGTAGTTTAATTATTCTTCATATTATATAAAGTAATTTTATTTTGTATACATGATAACAATACTGTCAGCAGATTCTTCTATATGTATACAGTGTAACCTCGCATAACGAGCATTTCCCTTAACGAACAAAATGAATTGTAAGAAAAATGACAAGCGACATCATTTTTAAAACTTGTGTACACATATTAGGTGTATTTTTTAATATGTTTCACTATATATTTCAGAATACGAGTAAAAATCCGGAAATTTTGGAATGGATTGAACTCGTTAAGCGAGGTTCCACTGTACTTAATTAAATGAAATTAAATAATTTTGAATTTGAATACAGTGAATTCATAATACATACAACGTCAAAACCTGGAAACGATTCAATTGAAAATTAAAAAAAAAAAACCTTTAAAAGATGTGGCGTAAATATTTGATAGACATTGACGAAATTAGTTTTAGCAAATCATATAAAATAAGGAAGATGAAACGCCACTAATCAATTTATAAAGAAATATTGATAACCATTTCATTTTCAATGAAGCAATTTTTTACTGGCCAGATGAAAGTAATTAAACATTTACCAATGTTTAGAATGTAACAAGAGAAAATAACTTGTAATTGCACAATTCAATGACCGGAAGGATATTTGTTGGTAGAAGATAGTTTTAAGAAAAACAAAAAAAAATATTGTAAAAATTGTATATAAATAATTTTTAAAAAAATCGAGAAAAAGCACTGCTTAAACATTGAACTAATTTACATTGTTTTTCAATCTCGTTCTTGGATCAAATCAAATTGATTTTTCTTAAGTTACATAAAATTAAAAAAAAATCATTTTAATAAAATGATGTATAACTACATATGAGAATTATATAAATTACATATATCCCCTAGTGTACGAACTAGTTCCGTTCCAAAGGGTTATTCGTAAGTCGAATTTGTTCTTAAGTCGGGGGAATTTTAAAAATTTCAAAATATCTTACTACACTTTATCATGGTTTTTACTTTTATATATGTTAAATTCCGTGTTACTGACTGTATAAATTTCAAAAAACAGATTAAAATACTTTTCAATGTATACATCACAATTATTTAATAAAAAACAACAAAAGAAACAAATGCAACAAAACAGATAGTACATCTTCCAAAAATATTATATTTTATTAAATAAATTATCAATTTTTGTTTGAACAATTAATTTTTTTATAATTATATATCTCCCTGTAACAAATTAGAGCTTTTAGAATTTTGTTCGTAAGTCCGGAAGTTTGTAAATCGAGGGATACCTGTACTCACAAAAATGCATAAAATTGCTTTTTTCCCTAAATAGTTTCTCATAATTCCATTTACTATATATTAGTTCTTTCGACCAAAGTCTTTCCATCCAAGTTATCTTATATTTATGTATTACATGCCCATCTTTTTTGTTATTAAACAACATTGATTCAGCTTGAGTCATTTATAATAAAAATTCACAATAATCTTATATCAATATGAATTAAAACAAACGTTTCAGAAAAGGTTTCATACATTTTCATATTGGCAATTCAAACTTATTTTGTATATTCATTTATAGACAAGACAACAGTATATTTTGCTATACAATTAATAGACATTATATCATTTTTTAATTTATTAATATTAACTAAATCTCATGTTTAAGTGAATTAAAATAATGTTTAGTAGTCTAATTTAATAGATGTCATTAATGGCAAATTAACTATTTTCTTTAAATTAATGTGTGTAGTATAAGTTATGCTACGAAATTAATATAAATTAAATAATGCTTTGGTATTTACTAATATTAACCAAATCTCATATTAAAATGTATTAAATTAATTGGTAACCATGCCACAGTACAGTGGAACCTCGCTTAACGAGCACCTCACATAACGAGCATTTCTCTTAACTAATAAAATTAATTGTAAGAAAAAATGACTCGCTTAACGAGCAACGTTTCACATAAGAAGTGACGATGAGAAGAGAAGTCCCGGATTGCGCGACTGCTACATCATTTTTAAAACTTGTGTATTTTTGAACATGTTTCACTATACGAGAAAAAATCCGGAAATTTTGGAACGAATTAAACTCGTTATGCGATGTTCCACTGTATATATATATTACTATGCAATTTAGAGGATTTCAATCATTTTTGGTAAGAGTTTGGAATTTAATAATATTAACTAAATCTCATATGAAAGTGAATTAAAATAATGTTTTGTATAACAGTTAGTAGTCTAATTTAATAAATTTCTTCAATTGCTCATCTTTTAAATTAATTTATAGAAGACTAGATTAAAATTTTCCTTTGAGTATAAGTTGTGCCATCTATAGGTCAATAGTTGTAAAACTTGAAAACATAATTGCATTTCAGCTGCGTTTGATGAATAATTTGCATTCTTTCCTTTGTATGTAAATAGATATTAAATAATTATACTACTACGTATAATTTATAAAGAAATTGTGTGTTTGGGGATGAAATTTTTAAATATATTTCGAAGATTATAGTCATCATTTTTTTTTGTTTTATTAGGGTGGTAGTTGAATCGCTGACGTCAGACGACGGCCATAAGAATGAAAATGGCGTCCTGTCGTAGGGATCGGTCAGAGCAACAATCGCTTTTCTAAAATTATCGATGAATTTATGCACCATCAATTCTTATGCAACTCGAAACTAACTGATACTAAGCCCAGAAAATCAATCTAGCATCATATTTGTCTGGTCACTAGAGCCGATGTCTAGAGAAAATCGATGCGACTACAAACGTACTATGGGAGACACATAGACCCGAGGATTTACACAACGTCTCCAGTGCTGTGAATTGTTTTGTTTAGTGTCGCGATTCTGTGTTCCGTGTGCTTTTTGGGGGTGCCGGGCGACACGCAGTGGAAGCCGTCTCCGTTGGCTTTACTATTCTGGTGAGTTTCCTTTTTTCTATATACATCAATCTGTCTCTCCACCCGGAGATTCGCCATCATCAGTCGATATTATATGCGTATGACCCAGCCCTGCCTTGTCTCTATATTCGCACGTAACGCCATTGTTTTACTTTGTCAAATGTCAAAAAGTTATAACCTCCTTGGATCACCAGGACTTATCACCTTTCTATCCTTCGATTCCCTTCGATTTTTACCCATGAACATGTCTCCGTGCGCCTCTTTTTTTTTGCTGTCGTTTCCACGAATTTGGCATATCCACAATATTTACCTTGGGCTTGACAAGTCATGCCAACCTAACCTATAAATCCACCAACAAATTTTTCCAAACCAAAAAAAAAACAATTATTTAAATTATTTAAAAAATATCTTGAACCTAATCTTGAACCTAATGGAATCCATCAACATGTTATAAAATAGATTTTTTTGTATGATTTATTATTAAATAGATTAAAAACATAGTAAATTACAGTGGAACCTCGCTTAACGAGTTTAATCTGTTCCAAAATTTCCGGATTTTTACTCGTACAGTGAAACACATTAAAAACACACGTAATATGTGTACACAAGTTTTAAAAATGAAGTTGCAGGCGCGCAATCCGGGACTTCTCTTCTTACCGTCACTCGTTATGCGAAACGTCGCTCGTTAAGCGAGTAATTTTTGTTACAATTTATTTTGCTCGTTAAGCGAGGTTCCACTGAACATTTAATATTTGTTATATCCATATATTTGTTAATTATGTATAAATTTAGTTTTTTACATCAAAATCATATTTATTTCATATATATATAATTATAAATAATTATTTATCGGGTTAAGCAATGTTGTGCAGTAATATAGTAAATTTTAACATGCAGCTAAAGGCCTATTTGCTACATATTGAAAACAAACTCTTAGTTAAAATTACAATCAATTTCTTTTATTTTCTTAAATATTTTTGTATATTACTTATTTATTTAATTCTAAAAAAAATAATATTTTATATTAACTGATGGTTTCTGCATGGTTGTATTTGTGTAATTTCGCAAAAGGGCTTTAACTTTTAATAACAATATTTGCTTTAATTATATTCGAGGCATTTGTTTACAATTTTCTAGCATGATCAGTCTTTTCCTTCCTCCATTACTATTTTCTTTTGTAAAGGTCATGTCCTAAAGTTAAGAATAAACATGTCCTTTTTGTGTTGCATGAAGATTGGTTGTGCCAATTTGCTTCAGAGATGCATTGAGAATAATTTATGCTAATTGGTGTAAATAAGTGCAAGCAGTTTGTACATTTAAGCGAAGCCAAACATGGCAAAATTTATTTGCCTTGCATATTTCATATGGACGTGACGAAAACAAACAAGAACTTATTGTATAATATATACAAGCGATTTTAATTTATCTGAAGGAATCATTAAGTTTAATCAAAACAGTGTAATAGTAATACGAAATACTTAACAAGACATTGAAATATTTAAATTGTGCTGAATGTTTCTGTTATTTTTAATTGTATAAGAGCAATTTCAATTGTTGAAGTTTCTGGTTCATTGAATACTGGAGTCAAAGAAAATAATTCATTTAAAGAAACAATATTTTGAACTGATTTCAATTTAAAGTAAAAAAAATGGTTTTGTTTTCATCAATTTGTATAGTAATTGATTTTAATTCCTGGTGTTTCTGTTTTCTTTTTGTTTATAGTTACCGATGGTTTTCTAAATTAAAAAATATTAACTTTTGGTGGAAGCTTCTTGTCATGATTGTCTTGCATATCAGCTTAACTTAATCGAACCAAGTTATATAATAGACGAATGGACGAGCGTGTGTTAATTTGAAATGGTATATATTTACAGTAGGAGACCAGCACAGGGTAATATGTGCTGGAATACGAGATCGATAAAATAAAATGGAAAAAAGTAGGCATGGAAAACATAGTAAAGAGAAGAGAAGATCAAGTAAAAAGCACAAACGGGAAGAAAACGGAAACTCGCCGAAGCAGTCGCATTTTGGTAGCTCCTCAAAGGCACTAGTAGAGTACTCTGACGTGAGTTCCGAAGATCTCTCGGGCCCAGAAGCTGGAGAGATCCAGAGTGAAGGAAGCATCATATTAAGTGATGAGGGTGAGCTGGCATTGAATGCGATGCATAGAAACAGCCATCACTCTTCCCGATCGTCCAGGTATTACATGCGAGATGGAGGTGCATTCTATGGTAGGAATCGCGCAGAAATACAGCCGATCACTATCTCGCCGACACCCCCAACCCCGGTCGTCAGCCACAGGGAAAGGAAGCATTCCGCTTCCTCAAGATCCTCCAGGTCAAGTGATCCTCGCCACCGTAGGAAAGTCGAAGTATCCCCACAAGTAGAGTACCAACAAGTAATCCCGACATCCCCGACGTATGACTACGATTTGGATCGAAAAAAGCGGAAGAAGAAGGAGAAGAAACATAAGAAAGACAAGAAACTAAAAAAGAAGAAAAAGAAATCTAAGCACAGGTCGAGAAGCTCTAGTGTGACTTCGGTGGATTCCACGTCTCAATCCTCGACAATTCCGAGGCCGTCGACGCCCGCCGAGAAAGAGCCACTGTCTGACTGGGAGCCGAACGCTGAAAATCTGAAAGATGTTTCCAAGATTGACCCCGAAGTTTGTTCGCCAGTGTCTAATGATTCTCACATTGCATCACCGGACATCGAGCCTAAACCAAGGTCGCCAACGCCCCCACGACGTACGCCCCCGCGTCGCACCCCCAATGCCTCGCGTCTCACGCACCAGAACAGAGACTCTCCCCACACCCCACCAATTTCTCACAAAATTATCGAAGACACTATAGTGATAGAGGAAAAGGACGATGATCCTGTTCCCCCGGAAGCTGCCTACAAGGATAGACACAGCAGGCAGTACAGCCCACCGCCGAGTTCACCTTATAGGAACCCGAGCCCGGAAATGCACCAGCATCATTATTCCAGGTATAATCTCCCTCACCAAATCCTACAACTTTCAGCATTATAATCTTGAAATCATTTCAGCCGATCGACTTCACCAGGCCGTAAGCGCAGAGTGGAGGCTGTACCTCATTCCAGAAGACACAGAAAGGAGAGAGTAAAACGACGACTAAGTCGGAGTCCGAATAGGCGTCCTAGGATGTCTCGTTCGCCGACACCGCCATGGGGTAGAAAACACTATTCAAATCGTTCGCCTTCAAATCGGCCATCAAAACGGATGAGATCTAGAAGCCCAAAGACAACACGAGAAAGACCTTCACGTACCCCACCTAGGTATAGTCTACGAAAATAACAAATTCATTATACTTTTATTAATTAAAAACCTGTAATTGTAGGAGGGATAGAAGAAGTCCGTCTCCGCATTCGATTAGATCATCCCAATTGAAGAATAAGATTACGGATACGAGTTTGTTTGCCGAATTGGTCAAGGATAAACATAAGCGCGAACTGGAGCTTAAGAAGCTGGAAGAAAAGTTGGAGAGCAAACCGGCGGAGCAGACTGTGACAAGCCAACAGGTGATCACCATCGAATCCTCCGACCAGGTTGACTCTAGCATCCAACAGATTGATCTTACGGATCCCGTACCTATGGACATCGATAATATACCAATACCGATGGAGAATGCAATCGTTGAAAATACGCCAGTTGTCAAGACCAATGACATCGCATTGCCGCTACCAAACAACGGCACCAAAGCTCCGGAACTGCCAATCGTAGCTCCGCCGCTTCCACCCCAACCATTAGTTCCTAAAGACCCGCCATCCGAAATGACCAATTCTATAGCGAAAAAGACCAAAAGTATCACTAAGCTGCCTATGCCGCCGGGTATCAAGCAGACTGATTTGGAAGTGATCGAATCCCCTCCGAGCAGATCGCCCAGTCCGTTAGCACCAGTCAAAGCGAAGACTCCACCCAGGAAAAGCATTATGAATCTCCCAATGCCCCCAGGTAATATATTTATTTTCAATTTTCCTTGACAGATACAGTAAAATAATTTATTTTTTTTAATTAATTCTTAGTGATTCCTGGTACTGAAGAATTGAGTGGAGAGGATGACATGCCATCAACTCCACCGAGAGACGGAGTTTCAAAGAGAGGGCCGAAACCGAAACTCAAGAGACCAAAAATTCTCAAGAGACGCGGTTCAAGGAGCATCCAGGCTAACATGAACAAGGATTGGGGCGAGAGATGTGTGGATGTGTTTGAGATGATCAATCAAATAGGAGAAGGCACTTATGGTCAGGTGTACAAAGCGCGTGATGTTCAAGCTGATATCCTAGTAGCGTTGAAGAAGGTGCGACTCGAGAACGAGAAAGAGGGCTTTCCTATCACGGCCGTCCGAGAGATCAAAATTTTGCGTCAACTCAACCACAAGAATATTGTTAATCTGCGGGAAATAGTTACGGATAAACAAGATGCTATTGATTTCAGAAAAGTACGTAAAAAAATCAATATTAATACAGTAGTAGAAACATGGAATATTGATATATTAATTAATTATTGTTTGCTTTTAGGACAAAGGCTCATTTTACCTCGTTTTCGAATATATGGATCATGATTTAATGGGTCTCTTGGAATCAGGAATGGTTGACTTCAACGAATTGAATAACGCTTGTATTATGAGACAGCTTCTTGACGGACTCAACTATTGCCACAAGAAAAACTTCTTGCATCGTGATATAAAGTGTAGCAATATTTTAATGAACAATAAGTAAGTTTCTTTGAATCTATATGCGTGAACGGTGAAGTAATTCATGTTCGTTTTTAAAGGGGTGAAGTGAAATTGGCCGATTTCGGATTGGCCCGTTTGTACAACGCGGAGGACAGACAGAGGCCTTATACAAATAAAGTGATAACATTGTGGTATCGCCCACCAGAATTGTTGCTGGGCGAAGAACGGTACGGTCCAGCCATCGACGTCTGGTCGTGTGGTTGCATCTTAGGAGAATTGTTTATGAAGAAACCACTGTTTCAAGTGAGTATAAGATGTTTGTTTATCAAATTAAACAGCGTTATTAAACTGTCCCTTTTTGCTTTTAGGCGAATGCTGAAATGATGCAATTAGAGATAATTTCAAGACTGTGCGGAACGCCAACTCCGGCCGTATGGCCTTCTGTGACGAAGCTTCCATTGTTTCACACGTTGAAACCTAAGAAGTTGCATCGCCGTCGGCTACGTGAGGAGTTCATGATGATGCCAGGTCCTGCGCTAGATTTGTTGGACAAGATGCTGGAGTTGGATCCGGAGAAGAGAATAACGGCCGAGGATGCCTTAAAGTCGGACTGGTTGAAGAACATCAACCCTGAAAGGTATGTGATGGTTATTGCATAGATGAACGAATAGATGTAACATGTTTTATTTTAGGATATCTGCACCGGAGTTACCTACTTGGCAGGATTGTCACGAACTGTGGAGTAAGAAGCGAAAGAGGCAGATGAGGGAACAAGAGGCCATGTCTACGGGACCTGTTGGAAAGTCTTCTCTGCTACAGAAGTCTATATACGGAAAGGGTGACGAAAACTCCGAGTTTGGGGGGTAAGTGATATGAAATGAAAGAAATAGAAACACGAAGCTAAGAAAATAAACTAAAAGAAATAGACAGTGAAAGTGCCTGTTGTTAAAATATTTTGTTTTTGATACATTAAATATAGTGCAAGGACACGAACCCTATTTAATAATAATAATAAGCTAGGTTATAGAAAGTTATTATTTTGCTCTGTTTCTTGATATACATATTTTTAAAAGGGGTGAACAATAACTTGATAGAACCTCGTTACCTCACTTTCCAGAGCTTCCCTTCCCCCCTATTTTTCAGACCCACGATCATTATTACTATTATTATTTCTCTTTCCTATATAGACTTCTAAATTTTTTATTTAGAACATAGACTTTTGTAATAGTCAAATTGAAGGTGCATTATGTCGAGTCAAATAATAATTCTTTATTGTTAATTAATTACTAGTATTTTTTTTATTGTACAGCTATTTTTTAAATCAATTAATTATTTATTGAAGTGAAGACTTCATTTCGATTTAACTAAGCAGTGTGCCTTCCGTTAAAAAAACAAATCGCCACATTTCTCTTTCAATATATATATAAATAACAAGTATATATATATTGTAATCGATTATTCTGTTTATTATTATTTTGTTTGTTTTTTCTTTAAAATAAAGAAGTAATTTTTAAATAATTTTGACGATGTCAATTCCAATTATTCACTACAGTTCTCGCAATAATTCCAATGTTATGAAGAAAAAAACAAAACAAATCAATTCATAAGTTATTTGAAAATTATTTCTACATACGGTTAATACTACTACTGTCGTACAATTTTGTTTCATTTCTTTTTTTTCTGTTTTGTTACACTACGGTTAATGTGAATGATGAACGTTAACACACGATTATTATTATTTTTTGCAATGTAAATATAATTTTAGTGTATTGATTTTTTCCTAGCTAACAAATTCGATTTGTTTTAATTTTAATTTATAGTCTGTATATATGTTTTATTTTCTCCTTATTATTTTTTTTTCCGTCGATTTTGTAAATAAATTTGGGATTCATTATTATTTATACTTTCTTTTTGTTTTCTCTCTAATTTGCATTGTGTAGTTGCATTATTTAGATTTTTCCACTGTTTCTTTTTATTTGATTTAGGTCCAGTTGATGCATTTTGTGTCTTTAAATAAATGTGCCAGTTTACTACTTTTTTTTATCAAATTTGTATATATATAGAGAGTATTTATATATACTTGATACGAAATAAATCAGCGAATACAGAAAACTAAAATAATTATTTATTGCTAAACAAATAATATAAAGCATTTTGGTGTAAATGATTTTTCAATGAAGAACGGATCCATAAAATGTTACTTGTTGATCAAAAGAAAGAACACGTAAAACCAAGTACATGCCTTGCAGAAACTGATCACCTTTGATTCCCATGGGTGAACTGTTTCCATTTTTCAAGCAAAATCAAACACATTAGTTTATTATTTTATTTTAATACGGACCACTGTTGTTGCTTCCACTGTAATTTTATATTCTTTCATTTTCTTTTTCCAAATTATGTTAATCATACAGTTAATAATGACAATAAACTCGTTATGTTGATTTTATATTTATTGAAAACCGAACAGTAATCTTACATTATATATTTAAGTTGTGCAATAATACAACGTTTCTCTATATGTCTTAAAACCAAGTAACAATATTTAGTTTAATATGTTGTATTTAATTAATAATAAATCTATGGACGATAATTATATTTATTATATTACGTTGTTACCAATTCTATGTATCAATTTTATATGTTTAGTAGCAATAAATAATTTGTTGGTAATGATGATGTTACATACCCACACAAATTTAAACTCCTTTTTTTTTCTAAATCTTAATATTCAAAAGTTTCGTTTAATTTGCGGGTTTATAAATTACATAGAAATCTGTAATTTAGAATTATAATTTTGTCTCCTGTAGATTCCGAAAAGCTAGAGTTCTTAGAAGGCTTGATTCTCAGTAGTCGTTGAAAATGAATGTACATCCGCTTTTGTTGCTCCTTGTTTTGTCATCCAGAAGCCGAGTCCCTTTTCATTTCCGTTAACGAGGTTTAGATTGGAAGAATCTATTTCTCTGTTGATCTGTTTGGACAGCTCTTCGAAAAGTTTGAAAATGGAGGCGTACGACACGGCCGTTCTGTCGTACGCTCTGGCCACTGCGGCCAGCAAACTAAAGCCCGGACTGTTGGGACTCGCGCCTAACATTCGGCCGGAGGACGTCTCTTTGACTCCGCCGACGAGGATTGGAAACGAAGACGTACTCTTCAGAATGCTGGTTTCTATGGAGCAGTCCCTCCTGAACAGAATCCCGGTGCATCTGCCGCAGATTCTGGAGATGTGCACACTGAAGCAGGTGAATCCTGCAACCGTACAGACGTCCTTCTACGATCGCCATACTCACAAACCTCTTTTCTAGGTGGACGCGCAGATGGTGGTGCTGATGGACGGTCTGCACCACGACCTCAGGCAGATTTGCAAATCGAATCCTGGTATGCAGTATTTCCTAGTTCTGACTGATAGTAAGTTCTTTCATAACAACATATTTTCTGTAAATTCGGATTCAGATGAAGGTATAGCATCATCTACTTTCTTTTCTTTCAAGGTGATGATACCAAGGTGTGTGGGCTTTTGAAAAAGGACTCAGTGATGAAACTGTTGTCCGACCTGTACCAGAAATACAGCATGGTGGACACTGCAAATTTCATAAGATCCTACATGGCCTAGTGATTGAAGTGCCAATGGACACACTCTTATATAAATATAATTTAGGTACATATTTTTGAGTATGCCAATGAAGCAAAATGTATATAAAAGAAATTGATCTACTACCCATCCCAAATTCCATTTTGAGAGTACACTGTTTATTGACCAAATTATATTGTTTGCCCCCCCCGTAGATTAATTCCTGAATATGAACATAAGTATTTAATAAATGTATTTTTTGCGAAACAGAAAGATGGATTATATTAAATATTTAATAAAAAAAAAATAATGAAACTATATTGAAAATAGTTAATCTGTATTGTTTTATGTTAATAATGAGTGTCTTTGTTTTCCTCTACCTTAATGGTAAATTCATTTGCCTTGAAAAATTGCACGTTTTAAATACCTAGTTCATACTCGTGTTGTGTTCAAAGCTGCTATTGTCCATTGAAACATCAGACTGCTCTGCAGTGTTCTGTTTATTAAGTTTTTTCTCCAAATGTGCCCAAGGATCCTCAGTAAATGATGGATGTAGATAGTCTTGTTTAGAAAAAGTCTTATCTCCATTGCTTTTCTACAAATTAAATTAGTTAATTATTGTCAAATTGATATAAATATATATACATACATATGATTGATTGGTGTAATTGTAATTGGAGCGATTGTTAGAAGTTCTGTACGGACTGTGGGAGTTATTTTGCCATGGCTTCTTACTGTAAAAATTTCTTCCACTATTGTGACCTCTGGTGTTATTCCTCTGCTTATTTTGTGGACTGCTATAGTTCCTAGGTGTAAAATTCTGCGGAGAAAGTTCCTTTACTGGGGACTCATCAAATGCCATGAATTCAGATGTCTTTGCTTGGGGCAAAGATGTTGGAAAATAAATGAAACCGCCGCCGGATGGGTTCATCTTTATTTTGAATTTAAGGAGCAACAACAACACTAAACAACAATGTTCAAACGAATGAAAATAAAATCGATGAGAGGTTATAAGCAAATAAAGAGAGAAAGTTTGCAGGATGACCAACATAAAAAAAGACTGAAAAAAACTTAAGAGAAAATCACAATCTTTCAGGAATTTTCCATACTATTTATTAAATATATCAAATGATATTTTTAATTACATGTTAAACTGATACAAATTAATACATTTTAAATATAAAAAAAAGTAATTATAAATTTACTTAACTATGACTTTGGTGATTATACCAGATGGCGCTAAGGGTAGTAAAGAATTTAAAGCATACAGGTTTATACCTGTTTATACCTACCTTTAAATTTAAATACATTGGTCAACGGTCAATTCACAGAATTGTTTACCTTTTAAACATTTCTGGGAATTTCAGCGTAACAATAACTTTCTATTCTTAAAAAAAAGTTTTTCACGTTAATTAGCCTGAAAGAATTTACTGTTTATTATGTATGAAGATGTTGGTGTTATAATTTTAAAACATTTACTGTCAAACACCACTTTGAAATTTGATAAGAAAACAGTGATTCTAAATGATGATATAATTAAACTTATATCATGATTCTTATTCTAATTGTAAATTTTCTTAAGATATTTTAATTTTTTAAATTTTATTTACGTATATTTTTAATTTGACTATTTTCCCCATTGAAACTGTGTTTGTAATTAGTTTTAATTACATTAAAATAAAGTGAAACTTCGCTTAACGAGCACCTCGTATAACGAGTATTTGGAGTATGGCTTTATTTATATTGGTGATTAAGCATTCCCACGAAATTCGGTCTGGATGGTTTTGTTTATTATGTATTTGTTTATTTGAAAAAATAATTCGGAGTATTCAAAGAGACTTCGTGAATGTCTCTTATACATTGTTTGCTCTATTAGCAATAGACCGAGCAACACAATGTCTAAACATTATTTTTTTCAAATGTCTATATAAATAAAGCAAAACACTAGCACTAGCTTGAACCAAAATGAACCGTAATTAAAATTTCGTTCCTATTTCGGTTTTTCAATTAAGCAATTTTTCATTCCGGTTACAGTTCAGTTCCGGTTCGATTCTCTGCTATCTTTCTAGAATTTTCTTATATTTTCTTCTTTCTGCATTGAAAATTAGTATTAGAAATGCCGCGAGACAAATTTTACAAAAGCATCTTTTATCATTTAGTTATTAGGTTTAGCAGTTAATATTCCATCTACTGAAAGTAGACAAAAAAGGACAAATAATTTGCCATATATGCTCAAATATTGTTCGAAGTAAAAAGATCCTCAAATGATACAAATATGTATACATTTCTATCATGATATAGCAATTTTAATGATTACTCGACGTAATTAATGAAAATAATTAGAAATATAAAAATTTCATCAATTATAATTAAATTGTAGTGTCCAACCATTATTATTATAATTGTTATTATTAATAAAGTGTATTAACGAATTAGAGACATCTACGTCGTCTTTTAGTCGCATTATTATGTAAAAATATACATCAGCATAAAGGAATCTCTACCGTGATCCCAGTTCGATACACTTTAAAATAAACAAAGGGGACCAAACGTAAACATTCCCATCGATACTTCTATACCTTTACTCCGAATTCAAATCCTTATTATAAACATATAATGATCATTACACTGTCGTGGCCGACGAATTAAAATATTAACTTAAGAGGAGAATGTAACTCTTAGTAATAATCCATGGGATCAACTATTGTATAGTTGACTTTTTAATAAAAACTCCAATGTGTACAATAAAAATAATTAAGAATATTGTATTTAATATTCATAAACCCCTCTAAGACTCCGCATTGACATAACTACGAGATAATCCAAGGTGTCCGAGGATTTCTTAATCCCTGGACAAGACAACACGTACAATCGTAATCGATCATCTTTTTCATATAAACAAATGCATAGGATTTTGTCCCGGTCTTATAATAAACAAAACCACCAAGGCCGAATCCCGTGGGAACGCTTAATCATCAATATATACTGTTGTGTTCAACCATTATTATTGTAATTGTTATTATTAGTATATACACGTTAATACACACGAACTAGAGACATCCAAAGCGTCTCTTAGTCGCATTATTATATAAACATTAGCATAAAGGGGACACGATCCTGGGACACGATAATACAAACCCTACTCCAAATCACAACTCCTACCCCGTATTAATTAGAATTAACTTTGCAAGTAGAATAAGTATTTAGAATTAGTCTTAGTCAATCTTTTGAAGTATTTACATTGCCTTGGACCCCAAGAGTATCAATTATTATAATAAACTTGTTTTAAACCAATTGAACTATTTAATTCCTACAACTAAGACTCCACAACGACAACACCAGACAACATTCCACTGTGTCCAGAATTCCATCCCTGGGACACTACAAAAATAAGCGAATTTCAAATAATTGATTTGAACAGGCTTTAGCCTGTAATTAATGTATAATTAATTATAAACAGTTAATAATTTTCTACGTCATTTCTGATGTAATCATTTTATTTGTACAAATATATTATAAAACAAAGATATAAAGATATACTCAGTCACCCTTATTTTTAACAATATCAAACTTTATAAAAGTTTTTCGTGATATGGAGTTTGTTCTACAAATAATAAGATTCAAACCCGGCTTGATGGGAACCAATGGTTAACAGTTAGAAGATCTGAGATTCCAACCAACTTTAAGCAATACCAAACTGCATAATACATTATCAAATATTTGAAGAAAATATGCAAAATGTACAACCTGAAAATAATTTCGATAAAATAGCAAATATTATCTATGTTTTTTTAAGCTTACACTTTCAAATGAATCCTTGAGTATTTCAAAGTCGCGAGATCCTCTTTCAGGCAATACTTTCGTGTACCAACGATCATTACCTCGAAGAACATATCAATGTCGAAAGTAACGTTCGTCGTGTAAAAGATTTTCGCTTCGTCTTCGTTCACAATCCGTTTGATCAAAGCTACGGACCACGGATTTTTGAAATTCCATTCGTGCAACGTGAAGTAAGAGAGCACTTCGAGTCCAACCTTGATTTTCTTCTGGACGCGAATCATGCTGTAAAGAAAAATTCAGCTTATGTTTGTTAATGTTTTGTAGTTCGTAATTACAATCGTTCTCTTCTGAGGATGAAAAATAATATGTCTAGCAATATAGCGGGAATCCATTGGAAGAGTATCATAATTAGCCAATGTATATAAACGTTGGTTCGAATTGTACCATTTGGATACCAAAGCATCCATTCGAAAGGGTACTTCCACATGGCAACTCTCCCTTTGTTCATGACCTCAGCCCAAGTGATTTCCACGATATCCCTTGGCGTCGTTATATTTATAACGTATGTTTCGCGCTTTCTGTAATTACAATAAATAAATACTGAATTTACAAAATTGTTGTATTCATTACTTCTCCGTTCCTCTGAAGAAGGCGAAGATAATCAACGCGTTGATGGCGCAATCCACCGGTATGAATTCCGCGTAGTACTTCTCATTGCAAAGCACTGATCTCAAGACGCCTTTACCAGAGGCAACGAGAATACCAACGGGTCCGTTCAGATTATCCACCCAACCTGGTGTTGGTTCCTTTAAGGCCGGTATAACGATCGATGGTCTGGCTATAGCGATCGGCAAATCCTGGGTATAATCATGGGCAATCGACTCGGCTAATCGCTTCGAGAACGTGTAGGAATTTGGATGCGGGTGTATTAATCTAAAAACGAAACACTTATATAATAATAATAAAAAAAAATAATAACTGATTATCTTTTGGTATCGCGTGCAAGTCGATCTGACGTAATTTTACAACCGAAAAACCATAAACTATAATCCGTTTTCAAGAAGTTTGTTTATTCACTACTCACTCTTCCTTTTTCTCGTCCAGCACCTTCTCGCTCTCCGTCTGCACGTACTTGATCATCTCGTAGGGATCGCAGTTCGGTTTGTACACTTTCTCCTCCAGCACCTCGATTTCCACATGACAAAACGCGGTGGATAAATGGATGACACTCTGCAAATTTTAGAATCCTCAAAGATGCTCTATGATTATCAGAATAAATTACCTTAATATTCTTCATCTGTTTGCAGAGATCCATGACGCGTTTTGTACCTAAAGTATTAGCCAAAACTGCATCTTTGACGCCGGCTTCCAAACGCAAGGAAGCCGCCATATGGAAAACAACTGATACAGTCTCCGTCACACGTTTCCTGTTCTCTTCGGATAATCCCAAATTCTCCTCCGATAAACTACCTTCAACTACGATCAATTTATTCAGAGCTTTAGGATTTGTTGACCTCAAACGTTCGAATACCTTAAATAAAATAATTCAATTAAATGCACTTTACAACCATTTGTTTAGATTATAGAAAAAAACATGTTATTTTTCTTATTCTAAGGCTTTCGCCTTCTGCAACATGTAAAAACATGTTGCATTAAGTTAAGCTTACCGGCAATTGCTTAATTGCTTCCAATCTTTTCTCAGGATCCAAACCGCGTTTTCCTCGAACCAGGATAAAAATGTTTCCCAGATCTGGTAAATCCCTGAGCATCTTCTCCAATAAAACCTTTCCCATGAAACCAGTTCCGCCAGTCACGAAGATGTTAGCTCCAGAATAAAAATCCTGGATCGGCGTTTTCGAACTCATCTTGAAATCTATAAATTATCACATTCATTTCATTCATAAATAAATAATTATGGAATAATTCAATAAAGAATAATTAAGGAAAAAAAATGGTTTATATAGATTTACTACAAAACCTTATCTTATTACGAATTTGTAAGATCAATTCATAAATTAATTGCTATATACACAATGACTATAGATTTTATTAATTGTTGTTTGAGTGGAGTTTATTGCACTTTATCAGTGTAATAAAAATATTTTTTTCTGTCTCGATTAATACAATTTTGTTATTCTTTTGAAAAATATTTCAATTTAATATTAAAACATATCAAAAGTTAACTAGTTATAAACAATTGAAAATTGTAGTACATTTGAAATGGTTCAGTTTATTTCTATAAGATATTTATTGTTAAAGAGAGAAAACAAAATATGAAATATTCTCATTTTATTAAAAATTTGTGATAATTCTATACGGTTGTTATTGTTTAATATTATAATGTAAATATAATTATTTAAATACTTTGAAGAAATATGCATTTTCTGAGTAAATAAACTGTTACGAATTAATAACGATGTAGACAAAAAACAATTTCCTTTACAATCCAATTACTTCCAACCAGTTTCCTTAAAGTAACGACAATTACACTTGCTCTCACTCTACTATCGCATCATGTTTACGTCTGTTGAATAATTAGATAATTTCTTATAAATTGAATTCACCATTAAAAAAAAACTGTAAATTTCAAAAGATCGAGTCATTGTTGTTACATCAGATGTAGTTAAATAGATGCGATCTATTAGTGACGTAGAAAATGCGTTGCAAAGAAGAAACTAATTATTGTAATCGGTATGAAATCGTCAACAACGTTATATTCATAAAACAAGTTTATTTATAAACTTTACTCTTATGTTTATACAAAAAAAAACTATTACTTATTATGTAGGTTTAATAATTAAAATATATTTTAAAATTGGATGTGAAGATTGATGGTCACTAGTTTTTTTTTGTAGTTAAGTATACAATACATTTTGTTTATTATTATTTTAAAATAAATTGAAGTAATTGTAAGTTTTTATATTTATTTATATATAATTATTATAATTTTTAGTAATTGAACAAAAAAAGTACTTACGATTGTTGTATCTTGCTGCTGTCTTCAAATGACAACTTCGAGTGAAGTTTGAAAATCGACTAATATTTATTTGAATGCGTTCGATTTAGTTTGGTTTTATTTGACTAGCCCCCACCTGTCAATTGTCGCCTTGTCAACAATTTGCTGGTACTTTGTTCCTGCTGGTCAACTTTTGTACTTAACAAGTGATTTGTTCGATTATTGCGAGCACATTAAGAAATTCAATAAATAATCAAAATCGTAACAGTTCGATAATTATAAAGACGAGAAAAAAAAACAGTGATTGGTCGTGATTTGTCAATTAAATTCTATTAGAATCATTTAGTTTGTTTATTTCAAGCAGCAACCTTGTATTTCAGAATTACGAAATACTCGTTAACTTTTCGTTAAATCGTAGTAAATGCTTTATTTTTTGAAAGCTTAGAGAAAGTCGAGGAATGTTAAGTTTGAAATGAAAATTATTATATTAACATTACCCAAGCAACTAACAAATGTTGTATTATTATGTAAAACTACAATCAACATATTTTTTTTGAGAAAATAGTTGAATATTGTTTCAAAATAATTATAAAAGAAATTTGTTTTATAAAAAATTCTATTATCATTTTAAATAGTCATAATAAGAAATAATAATTTTCATAAAATTCATATCACCTGTTGCATTTGGTATAAACGCGT